GCTTGAAGCGAGTGTAGCTCCAATTCAATTTTTATATCTAAGAGAAGATATAATAAGAATCAATTCCTCTCTCTCTCTCTCTCTCTCCAGCCATATCCAAAGTTTCAGAATATGACATAGTAAACGCACGTATGTATGTATATAGAAAATTGAGTGGATTTACAAGTGAATGCGAATGCGAATGCGAATGCGAATGTGAATGTGATGCGATGCTTATGTTATAAGACGGTAGCCGAAATGAATGAAGGCGTCAACTTCCACTATCACCTGCTTCTTCTATAAATCTCAAAAAGGATAGAAGAAATATCGACAAATTGCTTTGCCGGAAGTGGAACGTGAATCCGACGCCAATTCCACGATACAACTTATTGGGTGCTTTGCTTTTATGGCACTAATATATTACAACCTCACCTCACCAGCAAAAACCTATGGATATATAGGGTAGGTTTCCTTTGTAATATTTTAGGATCAGATTGATTCATTGTTGTTTCGGTAGTGATCTCGAAAAGAGAGAGCGAATTTTCTAATATTTTTATTTCAGTAAGAACTCGAGAGAGACTAATATGGGTTGGATTCTGGGGATCACGACAAAATGATGACCAAAATATATATATATATATATATATATAGTAATACTATTAGAGTAAGAAAGTAAATCCACATTCTCGAGTAATAAGCACATATCCTCCTTAAGTTATACATTTTTTAGTGAGTGATATAAGAAGATGGAATTGCACAAGAAGAAAGCAACATAAAGAAAGGAAGGAAGCTCAGAATGCTTCTTCATTCAATTGATTGTTTTTGAATGCAATGAAGGAAGCCACATCTATATACAAAAACGGGATAACAAATTTCTGGTTAGACCGTGCTGCACATGCCTTTGCCTCCCACTATACAGGGCACCTCAGTTAAAGCTTAACAAAAATGAAAAACTAATTACGACTAATTTCCACTACTCTGTACAACAAAAAGAGAGAGAGGAAAACAGCTAGCCATTATCCAATTTCCCGTTGGCTTTTGCACCGACTACAGCATGAGTCATTTCTTCATCATAATGGCTCGACACTTCAAGTCGTAGTATCCCCGCAAGATGGAGAGTAGAAATTAACTATTCCCATCTTGGAGAGGTGAATGTTAAAAATGTGAGAAGGCAATACCTTTTCAAAAATGTCAACCAACTGGAATTGAGTACTAATGTGAGCCGTGCAAATGCTCCCTTCTTGCTTGATTGTCACAATGAAGAACAACAGCTTGTGGGTGAAGGACTTGAAGATCTAGCAAAATGTACCTCAACCAAGTGAGTTCAGAAACTGTAGCTGTCATTGCTCGATATTCAGCCTCAACTAAGTATCGAGAAAATATTGACTATTTTTTTGACTTCCATGATATGAGAGAATTTTCAAGCAGGACACAGTAACCAGTCAAGATCTTCTGGTATCGGGGCATGAAGCCCAATCGGAATCACAATAGGTAGTCAAGATCTTTGTGTGCTGCTGCCAAATGAAGATCAGTGGGATTAGCCATAAATTGACTTAAGTTCTGAACACTATAACATATATTCGGTCTTGTGATTGTAAGATAAAGGAGCCTCCCAATCAATCTCCTATAAATGCTTCGATCTTTCAAGAGTTCTCCTGCATCTTTGCTTAGCCTTAGGTTCTAGTCCATAGGGACTTTCACTGGCTTGGAACCAAGTGTTCCTGAGTCGGCCAAGATGTCTAAGGCATATTTTCTTTGACAAATTTGTATTCCCTTTGTTGTTCTAGCAACTTCAATCCCCTAAAAGTACCTCAGAGTACCTAGATCTTTAATTTTGAATTTATGGTTCAAGAAATGCTTAAGATCAACAACTGATTTTTCACTGTTAGTGGCAATGATGATATCATCCACATAAACCAATAATGCTATAAAGGAATTGCCGTCTTTCATGGTAAATATGCTGACACACCCCGTCCCGTGTAACATCACTAGATCCGGACGTGGCATGTGCTGATGATAGATACCAACTAAAAGTTGGACCCACCATCAAGGCTACTACAAATACAATATATCACTTTTTATACATCATTTTTCTAAAAGAATTTCGACATTATCTCCCCTGTAAACAGGACTAACTAACCTGTGATCAATTTCACACAAATCCCAAACTATAGCACAACACAACAAAGATAAGCCGAAATCTCAATTTTTACCAAGAAATAAGATGAAATATACATAAGGATACAAAATATATAGTAAACCCCATAACTATCTACAAGTGATGCAAAATCACATCTAGATATGAACATGCATCCCAAAACACTGACTACATGTTCTATGAAGTGAGTCATACTAACAAACTCTGTCGTGTGGCTCTGACTCCAAAATCAAGGCTCAACTCCAAAAGATGCCCAGATTCTCAACTGCTGTTTGATAAGGAAAAACGTGGAAAAATATATGAGTTGATAGCTTAGTGAGTGGAGAAGTTCGAAATATATATACTTTTTTTTATTGAAAATCAAATTCATATCATTTGATAATTCACAAACTACCATCATGTAATTATAGCTAAAAGTGAAATATTCACATAAGGTCATAAAATATTATTTTAAAATCATGATATAACATCAACTGATAATCATGATATAATCTCATCACATCAAACATGCTGAAAAATTCACAAAAAATGTACCCTCTGATTGAAATATATAATTTGCCTCTCGGGCTAAGAACTTTTGCCACAGGGCCTTTGGCCCCCTCTGTGAACGAAAGTCCATCTCAAAGACATCTTATAATCAATTCTAGAACACGATCAATACCCCTCTGTGAACTATATGTACACGATCAAGACCAATGTCAGGTCAAGACCCTCCGTGTAGAATAGAACACGGCCAATGCCCCTCTGTGAACTAGAAGAAGTATATAATCATGGGTATTTTTTTGGCCGATCTCAATATTGCATGTCTCACGTACCAAACAAATCTCAATATCATATGTCTTACATACCAATATGCCATAAATAATCTTTGGTATTCCACATGTATCATAATAAAAGAGATTTCCATAATAACCATGTAATTCGAACACATAATGGCATATAATTGAACGTACTTTAACAATATACTTAATTTATAAATATTTTAAAGATATTTATATTTTTCCACTCACAGAACTATGTACACCAAAATCAACTCATTTGGTACGCTGTCCCAATATCTGTATCGCCGCCTGAAATATGATATAATTTTTAAATCAATAATTAACTATTTTAAGAAATTTCATTAATTAAATAGGCGATACCCAAACTTAATTATTTCACATTTAGGCGATTTCTAACGTCTTTTTAATTACTAAAACTAATTTTTCTTTCATTTTACTCAATTTCATAGTTTATTATACTTAATCCCTTCAATAAAATTGAATTTAATCTAAAAACCTAACAATTATAAAATCAAACATACCCTTTCAATAAGTAACTTTTACTTACCTTTCAAAATTGAGAAATTCAAGCCTAATGGTATAACACACTTAATTCCTAACACTTTGGTGAGTTTTCCCTTCCTCCTCCCTCCTTTTTCCTTTCTCTTTTTCTCTCTTCTTCTTCTCTGCACCCTTTTTTTTTTCTTTTTTTTTTTGTGTTATGGATTTGGATTACATATGTATATAAATACATTGGGAATGGGTTGGTTTGGCATAGCTGCCTACCGTTTTCTTTTTCTTTTTAATTTTTTTAGTTTGACTTTTCTTTTGAATTAATTAAAGTATTACAAAACTCACCCCCTTGAAAAAAATTTCGTCCTCGAAATTTGATTAACTAAGTGCGAAAAATCTGGGGATACTGAGAACGCATCTGCTCTTCACTTTCCCATGTCACTTCTTCTATAGCATGATTCATCCACAAGACTTTAACCAAAGGAATAGTCTTACTACGCAAAACCTGTTCCTTCCTATCCAATATCTGAACTGGTTCTTCTTCATAGATAAGATTTTTCTTCAGCTCTACTGGTTGTGATTCCAAAACATGAGATAGATCTGGAATATACTTACGAAGCATAGAAACATGGAATACACCATGAATTCTGGAATTCTGTTGGCAAAGTCAATCGATACGCAACTAGACTGATGCGTTCAACAATCTCGTATGGGCCAATATACCTCGGACTCAATTTACCTCGTTTACCAAATTTGATAACACCTTTCCATAGAGATAATTGCAGGAAAACTCTATCCCCAATATCAAATTCAAGGTTTCTTCTACGTCTATCTGCATAGTTTTTCTGTCTATCTTGGGCTGTCTTTAACTTTTTAATTATTTTTACTTTCTCAGCAGTAATCTGGACATATTCAGGACCCAATAACTTTCTTTCACCAACTTCATCCCAACATACTAGAGTTCTGCATTTCCTATCATATAGTGCTTCAAAAGGAGCCATTTCTATACTCGAATGATAACTGTTATTATAAGCAAACTCCATCAAAGGAATATGAGTATCCCAATTCCCTTTAAACTGTAATACACAGGCTCATAACATGTCTTCCAAAGTCTGAATAGTTCTTTCTGACTGATCATTTGTTTGTGGATGAAAAGCTGTACTGAAATGAAGTTTAGTACTCATAGCTTTCTGCAAACCGGGCCAAAATTTAGAAGTGAAACGAGAATCTCTATTTGAAACAATAGATATTGGTGCTCCATACAAACTGATTATCTCATCAACATATATTTTTGTCAATTTATCTAACGAGTAGGTAACTTTTATAGGCAAAAATCTGGCAATCTTCGTCAATCTGTCTACAATAATCCATATGTCATCATGTCCACTATGAGTCCATGGAAGTCCAAATAGAAAATCTATAGTAATGTGTTCCCATTTTCACTCAGGAATAGGCAATGTTTGTAACAATCCTACTGTTTTCTGACGATCTGATTTCACTTGCTGGCAAACGAGACATCTGGATACAAACTCAGCTATTTCTCTCTTCATTCCATGTCACCAATAGTGTTCTTTGAGTACACGATATATTTTTGTACTACTAAAATGCATCCGTAAGCTGAACTATGTGCCTCTTCTAGAATTTCTCCCTTCAATTTCGAATCATCTGGAATACATAATCCGTTTCCCATAGCTAAAGCTTCGTCATCTCGAATGGTATAATCTGTATGCTTACTTTTACTAACTTCTTCTTTCAATTTGCTCAACACTGGATCTTGAGTTTGAGTTTCTCTAACTACGTCAATCAAAGTAGGCCTCACTTGGAAGTTGGCAAACAATGCTCCTCCACTGGTAATTGATAACTAGGCATGAGAAGCTCTGAACTCACCAAATAAAGATGAACATACTGCACTAGTCTGGGTCATAGGACTCGATATTTTCCGATTGAGAGCATCAGCAGCTACATTAGCCTTCCCTGGATGATAATCAATCTTACGGTTGTAATCTTTTATCAGCTATAACCATCTTTTTTGCCTCAAGTTTAACTCTTTCTGATCGAAGATATACTTTAAGCTTTATGATCTATATATATTTGGCATCTCTCACCATACAAGTAATGTCTTCAAATTTTCAAGGCTAGGACAACCGCAGCTAGCTCTAAGTCATGTGTAGGATAATTCAGTTCATATTTCTTCAACTGCCTGGAAGCATACGCTATAACTTTCCCATTCTGCATCAAAACATAACCAAGACTGAAGACCATGACGTGAAGCATCACTATATATCACAAACTCTTCATTGGGAGATGGAAGGGTAATAACTAGAGTTGACACTAATCTATTTTTCAATTCAAGGAAACTTCTTTCACAATTTTCATTCCAAACAAATTTAGCATTCTTTCTAGTCAAAATGGTCAAAGGAAGAGCAATTTTAGAAAATCCTTCTACAAAACAACGATAATAAGCCAAGAAAACTTCGAATTTCCGTCACATTAATAGGCCTTTCCCATTTTACCACTGCCTCTGCTTTCTGCAGGTCAACATAAATTCCTTCTGCTGATATGACATGTCCCAAAAATACAACTTTATCAATTCAGAATTCACATTTACTGAATTTAGCATACAACTGCTCATCACGTAGAGTCTGCAAGATGATTTTGAGATACTCTGTGTGCTCATCGTGATTATGAGAGTATACTAAAATATCATCGATGAACACAATCACAAATCTATCTAAATTTGGGCGAAACACTCTATTCATCATGTTGTGTGTTGTCACACCTGTCCTACCCACCTGGGCCAATGGCCCACTCATCCTGATCCACGTGGCATTCCTGCCGAGGTGGCACACATTGCCGAGGTGGGTTATATCTAAAGTGCTTCAAGCCGAGGTCCATCCGTCGAGGTTCCTCGATCCGATGTACGCAAGTCTGCCGAAGTCCAACTACCGAGGCCCATGACCCAGAAGCATGGAACCTGTTGAATGTAGCTGAGGTCCTCAAGTGGAAGTACTTGTCAAATGGTCGAAGCCCCGAAGTTGATGCACTAGCCTTTTAACCACAAGGAGCTTCCTCCGCAGTCACTTCTCCCAAGAGATCGCCTGCTTAGAGATCTTATTCGAATGACTGATGGAACGTTTGTCACAAGTATAAAGGTCAAGTCTTGTCACTAGTATGGAGGACCTGCGCAAGCAATAAATGCGCCGTAAGCTAGCAAGTCAAGTCCCATACCTAAGAAAAGACGTTTGAACTAAAGAGATGAGGCCACGTGCCACTTCATCCAAGGGCTCCCATTTCATATGTATCACTATAAATACTTCCATTGTGTAATGTCAAAGGCTAATGCAAGAATCAATACTAAAGACTACATTTACTCAACTCTCTCTTAGTTACTTGCAATACACAAATCGAGTTTATACACTTTTACATATACATTTACGAGCACCGGTTGGTAATTATTGTACAATCGGATTACGAACAACCCGCCAGATTTCGAACGTCACCGTCCCGCGTCGTTGGCTTACTCCCACGCCCCTTTGAACCGCTCATTTTAGACCGTCCACGTGTCTTAGCGTGTTGGACTTTCGCCTACGCAAGCGCGGGTAGGACCGGCATCTGTTGGCGCACTTTTTGGGGTCAACAGATTGGCGGCATTCGTGGGAAGCCATACCATAACCACGAGCGACCTTGTGGTAGAAGCTTACTGAAAAACATTTGGGCAACCCCCCTTGAAAAAGGATTTGTAGTTGAAAAAAGAACAGGAGGAACCCCTATCACTTGGAGAAATCTAAGTTTGATAAAAGAAAAATGAGTTCTAACGAAGACACTCCCCCAAGGAGGGTAAGAGAAAGTAGGAATGTGCCTCCCCAGCCTGCTGCCCCAGTAGCTCGGCCGAGGCTCCACCACCACCAAAGGAGAGGTGGGATACGTGCGACAGCACGACTATCAAGAGAAATGGCTACCATGGTAGCCAACATGAGGGATATAGCCAACCAAAACTTGGCCATGAGGGAGCTCATGGCCCAAATGCAAGGCCAGGGAGGTTTCCCCATTTCCCCATATGCCCCCCACGGGCACTATCAGCAAGAGGACGAGGTCCAGAGTCATAGAGCTACCTCGCCAGACTATGGTCGAGGTGAAAGCCCATTCGAGAGGGAAGTGGGAATCGACATTTCCTCCAACTATGCATCTGGCCGACCCACCGAGGTCCAAATGAGCCATGATAACTTTTCACCTCCGTATGAGCAAGACCCAAGACATAGGAGAGCAGGAAGTGTTTTTGACAAAATCAGCCCTGCCGAACCAAGGCCCAGTCAACAGCAGACTCAGTAGCCTCAGACGAGGCCACAGCCTCCACCTCCGATGCCCCAGCAGTCGGAGAGAAGGCATGAAAATGCCCCCCGCACTGTCCCGCCTAGAAGTAGGCCGCAAAGGAGGGAGGAAGAGGCTAGGAACCGGCCCAGACCCTCTCACCAACAACCGAGGTACGAGGCCGAAGACTACGATTTTGATGAGCAGCAGAGGTCCTGTGACTTGGACGATGATGATGAGAACCTGCCATTCTCAAGAGAACTAAGAAATGCCCAGGTCCCGAGCCACTATGTCATGCCAAAAATACTAAAGTATGATGGGAGAGGGGACCCAGAAAAGCACCTCAACGCTTACAAAACTCACATGAGCCTAAGGGGCGCCACCCCAGCCGTAAAGTGCAGAGCATTCCATTTAACCCTCAGTGGAGCGACTAAAATCTGGTATAGTAGGCTACCATCTGGGAGCATTCGAAGCTGGCCCGAGTTCAAAACTACCTTCTTGAAGAGGTTTGCAGTGAGCAAGGAAGGAGAGGCCCCCATCCAGCGTCTTCAAGACACGAGACAGGCGCATGGCGAATCCTTGAAAAGCTTCCTATCCCGCTTCACCGACGAGATGACCTACTGTGTACAAGTCACCGACAGAGAAGCAATATCTGCATTGAGAGGAGGCTTGAACATGAACACCCTATTCTGGAGGGATGTGCAGAATGAAGACCCCACCACCTATGACGCCCTACTAGATATGATGAGAAGGGAGATAATCAATGAAGAATTGATCGAGCATAGGAACAGGGCAAGCAGAGGCCTCCCACCTTCTCAAAGACAGCGAGGTAGGGGACCGATCTCTCACCTCATGGACTACCAGATGAACCGAGCCGAAAATGAGAACTCCGGCTAAGCCCTGGCCACCACAACTCTGAACGAGGTTCCAACCTTGGCATATGAGGATGTCAACCCAACTGCTGACCCATATCAGATGGAGGCCTAGCAGGGACCCCGTAGAGGAAGAGGCCGAGGTCGAGGTTTTGCACCTAGAAATAGGTCCAATCCGAACCTCCCTGGATACTGCTTGCACCACAGGTCTTATGGGCAAGACACCGCGGATTGTAGAGACTATGCACACCGCTCCCGGCAGGAACCCACCAGAGAAAGACATAACTCGCCCCAGGCGAACAGGCCCCCGCCCAGGCAGGACAACCGACATGGGCGTGAGGCGGCCGCTCCTCGTCAAAGGGATGTATCCCCAAGGCGAAGAGAGCAAGACACAGAGAGGCCCAGGGAAGGGCGTAGACACCGAAGAAATAGGCAAGCTCAAAATGAGGCCCCTATCCACGAGATAGATACCATATTTGGAGGCCCTTATGTTGGCGGTGAAACACGAAATGCCAAAAGAAATTATGCTAGGGAGGCTAAGCACCCCCCTCTGACGAGTTACATTGTGGACAGTAGCTCTCGAAGAAACCAAGTACCACCAATTGCCTTCACCCAGGAAGACGCCGAAGGAGTTCATTACCCCCATTGCGATGCGCTGGTGGTGAAGGCCGTCATAGCCCGAAATGGGCTCAAACGAATGCTAGTCGACAGCGGAAGCTCCGTCAACATCCTATTCGGGTTCGCCTTTGACAAGATGATATTGGACCATCAGTTGACGCCCACCACCACTCCATTGTACGAATTTATCGGAGATAGCATCACTCTGAGAGGAAAGATAACACTGGCAGTGTAGATGGGAGAATGTCCTCAAACTACAATGAACTTCATGGAATTCCTCGTAGTTGACAGCCGGTCGGCTTACCACGGAGTCTTGGGCAGACCGGCCCTAAAGGAATTGAGAGCAGTCATCTCTATCCACCACTTATGCATGAAATTCCCAACAGAAAATGGGGTGGCAACGGTGAGAGGCGACCAGAGAGGTTTGAGAGAGTGCTATCTGAGCTCCATTAAGAAGGTAGAGCCCCGGGACGTCCACGTGATCATGGCTAATGTGGTCATGGCGGATGTCCCAGGTGACGCTCCCATTGACCAGGAAGATGTTGATATCATTGACGCACTGCTTATTCAGGAGGTGCTGATCGTTGATGAGATCGACCCCCGCATAATGGAACATGAGCCTCAAGCATCCCCTGTAGAGGAACTTGAGAGCTTCTCAGCCGACCCCCGAGATCCGTCCAAGGTGTTGAAAGTAGGCAGAGGCCTATCCAACATTTTGAGAGAAAAGATTAAGGACTTCCTAGGCAAGAACCTTGACGTCTTTGCTTGGAGGCATGAGGACATGGTGGGCATAGACCCCAAGATCAGCTGCCACCACTTGAAAATTGATCCTAATGTTGCCCCGCATAGACAAAAAAGGAGAGCCCTCAACCCTGAGAGGTATGAGGCCCTAAAGGAAGAGGTTCAGAAGCTCATCCAAAATGGCTTCATCAGGGAGGCCACCTATTCGAGGTGGGTCTCCAACCCGATCTTGGTTAAGAAACACAATGACAAATGGAGGGTATGCATCGACTTTACCAATCTTAACAGAGCTTGCCTGAAAGACAGCTTTCCGCTTCCAAGGATTGACCAATTGGTGGACTCCACGGCTGGGCACGAGTTGTTGAGCTTCATGGATGCATACTCCAGCTACAACAAGATCCCCATGCACCCAGTCGATGAAGAGCACACTTCTTTCATCACGGACCGAGGTCTCTATTGCTACAGAATGATGCCTTTCGGGTTGAAAAACGTCGGAGCAACCTACCAAAGACTCGTGAACAAAATATTTACCGACCTCATTGGCAAGACAATGGAGGTCTACGTGGATAACATGCTGGTGAAGAGCTTAGAAGTAGAGAACCACATAGCGCACCTCAACAACACTTTCCAAATCTTGAGAAGGTACAGGATGAGGCTCAACCCCTTGAAATGTGCCTTTGGGGTGGCCTCCGGCAAGTTCTTAGGGTACATGGTCAACCAGCGAGGAATTGAAGCAAATCCCGAGAAGATTGAGACTCTGTGCCAGATGAGGTCCCCTCAAAAGTCAAAGGAGGTGCAAAGCTTAACTGGACGAGTGGCGGCACTTAGTCGCTTCGTCTCCAAAGCGACTGACAAGTGCCTCCCATTTTTCAAAGTACTCAAGGCTGGGAAGAAATTCCAATGGACTAAGGAATGTGAAGAGGCTTTCCAAGGACTGAAAAGGCATTTGGGGCAGGCCTCCCTCTTCTCCAAGCCGAAGCCCGGTGACATCTTGCAACTATATCTTGCCGTCTCCAATGACGCCATCAGTTCGGTGCTGATTTGAGAAGAAGGGTCCACCCAACTTCCCGTCTACTATACGAGTAAAGCGTTCCTATCGCTGGAGACCCGATACCACGATATGGAGAAGCTTGCTTTGGCCTTAATCACGGCCTCTAGGAAGTTGAGACCCTACTTCCAAGCTCATACCATCCATGTACTTACAAATTTTCCCCTAAGGCAAG